ACAGAATAGCAAAGGTCATCACTTGAGTGGAGTGGGGATCCTGCCTGGATTGAATTTTAACAATTGGGTGAGATTATCGAGAATTCTTCCTCTCAATGGAGGGAAATGGAAATGTGCTGTTTATATTTTTAAGGATAATTGGAAATAAACAATGGAAACATGCAGTTTTAGAAATAAAGTGTTAAGATAAAAATATTTACCAACTTGGATTTTTGCAAATGAAGCAATTTAGGTTATAATAGTAGCCTAAAACTTCAAATCTAGGAGAAAAAATAAATTCTATTGCAAACATTTTTATTAAAAAAATTCTTCATGGGATTTAAAAGTAGGGGAATCAAGATAGGGATGAAAAAGCCCATCATAGTGGTACAGGCTTTTCAGCCCAGCACTGTGGAGACACAGGTAGGGAGATCTCTGAATGCAAGGCCAGCCTGGTCTACAGAGCGAGTTCCAGATACAGAGACATTTGATGTCTGCACAGAAGTTATATAAAGCTCGTCCCTTTCTCCTCAGTCACAGAAAGCACTAGCAGACACAGATTGAATTGGGGATTTGACTGAGAACCGTGCAGCATCTCAGAGGGGCTGTTTTCTTTCCAGTGTTCTGCACAGCCTGTTGGATAACACCAAGACAGGATTTGAGGGCACAAACTGACTCTGCTCCTGGACTCAGGCTGCTGTCACACTGTGTGTCTGTTGACAGAAGAGTGCCAGGTGACAGAGAAAGTCAGTTTATCATTGCAAATCTCTCCACCGCATTTCCATACCTGATGCTACTTTTTATTGGTGACCATTTGAAGAGAGCCCCCTTCAGAGATCACACAACACCAAGTCTGAGGTCCATTTTCCGGGAAAAGGTTCATGCCAGGGGGTCTTGATAATTTCAAAAAAGGAAAAGAGTGACCTCAATGGACTGCTGATTTCAAGGTTGTTTTCTGATCTGTTATTTTAGCAGTTGCTCACCATTCTTGAGAGTTTTCACAACCAACTGTTTTTTTTTTCCTTTAAAACTAAATACACTGAAATAAGTCTGAAAAGTTTTTCTATAACTCAGTGAGCAAAGCATCCCAAATACTCATGGCAAAGCACAAGGAAAGCTCAGCCTTCTGGAGATGTCCCCTTTTTAGGTTATTGTAGAAAGTATGCAGATTTTTGTGCTTGGGGATAATTTCTCCTGTGTTGCTATAAGCATGTTATAATTTTGTGGAAACAGGTAATTATATGACAGGAAGAAATGCCATAATAACTAAGCATGGAGCAAGACCAAACTTGGTCCCGTGAAGAACAATTCAACAGATGTAAGTAAAGCCCAGGATAGCTCTTGCCATGTGTTTCTCTGGTGTACAAACTGTATATAAGAACAGGTAAGTGTGCTTAGCTTGCTAATGACAAGGTGTCCTATGCGACCTGTGGAAAGTGGGTCTGAATAAGCAGCATTCTCAGAGGGAGTAATGGAAGCCGACATCACCTAAAATGTGTCTCTATGCCATTTTAATTCTGATTTATGACACTTCCATTAGTTACATTATTACTGCTTTCTTTGTTGTTTAGTAAATTTTCATTTGGGCAATCTAACTCTGTTTTATCTATCCTTAGGTATTTAAGGAATCATAATTTGTTCCTAGTTGTCAAACTTTCCATAAAGCCACAGAGAACCTGTCTCTTACAGTGGTAATCCCAAAGGGCAGTTATTAGTAAAATAGCCCCCAGGAGGAAAAGTAATCTCAAGGTGAGATTCAGAACTATATAGTCCACAGCAGCTTATTCTCCTTGCAATACTGTGGATTGGGGGCTGCCAGCTATCCATCAAGATATTTTTCCCTTCCCAGTAATAAAGTTGCTTCCAGGAAGTAGCCATCCAGGGATCTTTGCAGTCCCATGTGGCAAGTTCCCAGTTCTTGGCAAGTACATGGTAGCTTGCTTGAGTAGTGTTGTATTGGACTTGAGGATCAGCCCATCTTGCCTCCTCTGTGCCCTTCTGCCAGCTCAGCAGAGGAGACACTGATGCCGGAGCCTCAGGACAGACGGAGAGAGCTGAGCAGCCCTCTAACCTGGAATGACCCTCAGAAGGACAAACGATGTGTTTCTATGGTTTCCCACGGATATATTTGCGGGTTTATTTGTTATAACAGTTGTAACCACCTTTTCATGGATTCTGCGATAATGATAGCGGTATGGATCAAAGAAGCAGGCTAAAGATACAAATGACTTGCAACTAGTTGGAAGTTGGGGCAAACATCGTGTAGCACAATCCTTATGTTTTAGCGTTTCACGTAATTATAGATCCTGATGAGAATCAACTGAAAATTAAAAGAGGTGAGTGGTTTTCAAAACTCTGGCATTTTTTTTTCTTGGAAGCAACAATACAGGGCATAGACTAATGTTAGAGATTGTGGACATAAAAGACCTAAGATCATATCAAAATAATGAGGTTAGAAATGGACGAGAAATTTTCCTTGATTGCATCTGCTGAAACCGCCAGTCAGTCAGCTGCCTGGTAGAAAGGAGATGGACACCATATTGAGTGAGGAGTATTGCTTATAATTTACCCTGTGTGTTCAGTTGATGTCATACTAGCCAAGGTTCTGCAATCATAATTAAATCTAAGATTCTAATATCTAGAGAGGGTCTGCTGATCAATTAATTATTGATCATGAAGCTCAGGCAGATGTTATAATCAAAAGACTTTGGAAAGAGACAGGATTTGGTAGAAATTCTAGCTCTGTGCGTTAATGTAATTTCTTGACTTTCTCTAGGACTCCATTTTCTTATTTTTAAAATGAAAATATGGGAATAAAATAAGATACTGCAAATTGCTTAACATGGTGCCTGGAACAGATAGGTCATCAATGGTAGTTATCAATAGTAGCTTGAAACATTAAACCAGTGCTTTAAGTATTTGAAACTTTGGAAGCTAGATGTGGTGGCGCACCTGTATTATCAGTACTCATTAGGCAAAGGAACATTTAAGGCAATTCTGATGTACACAGCAAAGCCTTGTCTCCACAATAACAAGCAAACCATATCTATATATCCATATACTTGAAGAGATGCTTAGGAATCTTTGTAGAATGCATTTATTCATTAAAATTGACTGTAAGTTTGTTGATAGATTTCATATGATGCTCAGCTCAAAAACGAAAGACGAAAACAAACATTGAATGGAAAGTTCCCTCTCTTGAATATGTTAAGCATTTACACGAATGTAGTAATGTCTCATTAATTATCCAATTATTTTGTCCGAAGAGGACATAACTATTTATAAACAAACTTAGCCTATGTCTAAACACATGACAAATGCGCAGAGTCACAAACATATCTGCCTCTACTTCAGCCACTGCTATCTCTTGAAAGGACCCCTTGAGCGTGCACACCAGCATTCTCATTATCTACCACCAAATCTTGACAAGGTCAAGGTAAATCTTTTAAAAACTCAAATAAAAAGTGGTCTATGCTGTCTGTTAGCAATTTGTTCTCACAAAACAAGTAACTCGTCCTTTTCTTCTTTCCCTGAAGGCATACTACTACGTTACTCCACAATATAGTTCTTTTTTTGTTTCAGTGTGTAACTTCTCTCTACCTTACAACAAGCTTAACCTGATTTTTTTTTTCCTCTTTAAAAACTCATTTAGAGTCAGATGTTGTGGTGCACACCTTTAACCCTAGCACTCTGGAGACTGAGCCAGGATGACTGCCAAGGAAGGACCTAGGAGAGCCTGGGCTATATATAATAAATATATATAGTAAATTTCAGAAACACCTGGTCAGTGTGAGGCCCTTTCTCAATGTCCATCCAAGTGGGTATCAGGGGGAAGAGAAAGGAACATATTTAAAAGGACTCAAATTTCACATCCCTTTTTATGCCTGTTTTCCAGTGTGTACGTAGTCCAATAGGCGGAGAGCATGCGTCCAGGTTATCTCATTTTCTTTGAGGCAATAGTGAAGAGGTTAATTCATAATTGCATTTCTATGAGTTTTATTTAAGTGTGATGTGTGCTAAATATTTATCTTTCAGTTTTCAGGTGATGGAAAGTAAAATGTTCATTCCATTAATATGAGTTAAATAGATCATTTTGATATAAAATAAAGTTTGGAATCAAAATTAGGGAGGTGGGATAGACACTTGACTCCTTGGAACTACTGGACGAAATAGTCGTGGGGGAGGGGAAGCCTAATGGGGCAGGGAGACCCGACCCAGACGCAGTGGGAATGGAAGAAGGTGAGGGAGAAGAGAGAAAGGCAGCCTCAGACTGAGATCGGTCAAGCATCACATCATTTCTTTCTTTTTTTTTTTTTTTTTTTTTTTAACAGGCTGGCAAAATGACATTGCAAGGATTCGAACCACCAGAACACACGTCCTTTTCTCCCTTTCTAAAAAAAAAAAAAAAAACTAAAACAAAAACCGAAAATGAGTCTCTCTCGGCCACTCCAGGAAGAGCATTTAAAAGCACGCGACCGGGGATGCGAAACTGAGCCTCCCTGCACCACGCAGGACCTCCCCTCTGTGTCTGGCATGGCTCTTCCCAGCTCAGCCAGGGAACCCAGACAAGTTTATTTACACACACACCCCCGCCCAGCGTGCACAAACACACCCGCAGAGAGCGAGGGCGCGAGGGGCGGGAACGCCCTCTTTTCCATCCCTTCCAAACAATTATCTGCCAGAGGAAAAAAAAAACGCAAATCCTCCGCCGCGCCGGGTGCTGGCGGGCGGGCCGGGAAACGTGGCCGCGCCGGCGAGCTGGGGATTTGTGAAAAGGAGCGCTGGCCCGCGTGCGCCTCTTGTTCCCCGTGTAATTTGCAGCCAATCATCGGGAGGTGTCCGCGGCCTGCGTCCTGCTCACCTCGGCGCCGCGGCCCGCCCCCGCCCCCGGCTCCGCACCGCCTCCCTCGCCTTTCTCTGCGATCCCCTCCCCCAGCCACCGCACACACGCACACACACAAACACAGCGAGGGGGGGGGGAGGGTGAGAAAGAGAGAGAGAGAGAGGGAGAGAGACTCCCCGGCTCCCTCCCTCCCTCGCACACAGCGACTGGAGACGGACCCGGAGCAACGCGCTGGGAAGAGCAGAGACCACCGACAACAGCCCCGCGCTCTCCCACACACGCTCACACTCGGCGCTTTCCTCTCCACCCCCACCTCCTCCTCCTTCCACCCCCTCCACTAACACCATCTCCTCCTCCTCTCTGCAACAAGAAAAAAAAAGCCATTTACAGGTATTTTTTTTTCATCCGCATATTTATTTACCCCACCCCCCCATTCCCAACAGTTTGTTTACAAGTATTAAAGTTGTAATTGGGAGCTGCCAAGACACATCTGGATTTGTGTTTCTTTGTGTTAGGGGGTGATGTGCAACTAATTAAAGGCAGACTGGCAGCGTCTGCAAATTCTAAGGCTCCCCAAATAAAAAGAGACTGGTAAGTGATTGTTCTTTCTCTTCCTCTGGCTTTTTTCCCCCTCTCTCTTTCTCTCTTAAATGTTTGCTGTCCGGTGGGATTGTAAAAGTAGATTAATGCTGGACTTCAGCAATAAAAACCCGTGACTGTATTAATTAATTAATTAATTTGCACCCGCCCCTCCTCCTGAATGTTAAATATGACCTTTGATCTCCGTGTCTCTGGTAGACCAGACATACAGTATTAGCCATGTACAGTCACATTGTTCAGGGGCAAAGCAGGATCATGAAGTATGGATGCTTAATTTAGCTTTAGTATTAGAACTATAGTTATTGGTGTGTGTTTTATTTTGTTGCTAAATAAAAGCCAAACAATAGCTGTGGCTTAGATACCTTTTTCATGCTCCAGGGATGCATTGATTAAACAATAATGACCTGGATACGAGGTAGAATCATTTTCTACAGTTTCTGGTGGCATTGAACCTAGAGGTGGGGAGGGGGGAGGTGGTGGCAATCAGAGAAGCAAGGAGAGCTTGTTTGGAAACACCACACTAAGACTCTGAAAGGGGATATTAAATTCTTTCTTTATTTGGAACAAGGTCAAAAGACTAAAATGTTAAATTTCCCCTCTGCTCAGTGTGAGGGTGCCTATTGCATGACTGGCACAGCTAGTTTCTAGTGAGTGGCAGTTATTACGGTTTTGCATTTTCAATGTGATTCACAGAAACTGAAGTTGTATGCATATGCTTGCTGTGTCTTCCCTCAAACCCTCGCAAGTATCAAGAATATTTAGCCAGGAGGATTTGGAGGCACCTTTGTATTGTCATCAGACCTCTGAAGGAAGCAGTAGTCCCTCATGTGAAACCACAGAGGTGGTTCCTGAGTGTTTAGGGACTTGCTGTGATTGAAGGATGCCTGCTAGCTTCTAATCCAGCCTGGGGGAGGTTCCTTATCTTGATTTACTTTGCCTAATAGGGATTTGTTTACAGGAACCCATTTTTTAGGGTGCCCCATCAGTCGGTCTTGAAGTTTTCACACTTGGAGTTTGGACATAAATGGTTCATTAATCTAATTATAAGCATAATTGCTATAATTGATATGCATTTGAAACTCTGAAATTTTCAGACAGACACTACTAGGCCTTCAGTTAAATTCCTGAACTCCACCTTCTAGCCCAATCTATAGGTTTCAGAAGATGCCAGAGAAAGGTACTCTGGCAAAAAAGAAAAACAAAAGGGGGGGGGGACAAAGAAACTGGTGGTTTGTTTTCTTTTTTTCAGGTGAATATACATTTTACATCTCTGCTTTAATTCTTAAATGGCTGTGGGATACCTCTTCCCCTTAATTAGCAACCAAAATATATCTTCCTAAAGCTTAATGATGGCCTGTAAGCAGAGAGAAATGCAAATACCCAGTTAACATTGAACTTTCCTCATAGAAAAAAAATAGCAAAAGGAGGAAAAAAAATCATCTTAATGGTTCTTTGGGTAAACACCACCTGAAGGGAATCTCCTTCCCCTTCACTGTATGCAAAAATCAGTGTTGGTGAAAGATTTTTTTTTTGCGTCCCTTGCTTTCCTCTTTTCTTGGGAAGAGACAGCAATCTCCATTAGAAATGATTGGGGGTATTCTTACAGGGGCAGCAGACCCTTAGTTCTGAGCCTGTGACATTGATTGCATTTGAGACCTCTCTCTATATATTCCATCTTTCTTTTTCTCCTTTCTTTTAAACAAGTAATACACCACCCTCTTGCCCCTGCCAAGCCCCACCACCAAATGGCTTGTACAATTGAGACCTGTCCTTGGTCCATTGAATTAAGACCCTAACAGAGCCAGCTGTGCTGGGATTCAAACTAATGACCACAGACACAGAAGGACACTGTGGCAGCTGGTAGTTCTTCCCCCCTCCCCCTTAGCCTCTTTAGTTCAGATTGTATGTGGGCAGCCTTGTAGCTCTCAGTTGTATTGTGTTTGCTTACAGTTTATGCTCGGATGTATTGTAGACTTTCTCAGTACTTCATTTGCTAATTTCCTGTGCGTTTTCCTCATAGGGCCATTGCTGTTTTCCACTTTACAGCATTTGCATGCCCAGGCAGCGCTTGTTCACACGTTTCATAATGTTTAAATGCCCTCTGCTTATAGGTAGTATCGCCCGCCCTCCCACCCCTGATTTGCATGTCTTTAGCACTCCAATTGCCCTTTTCCCTCGGCATTTGTCACCCCCGTCTTTCCTCTTTCCCTGGGTACTCTAGCTATTAATACATTTTTTTTCTCAGGAGGGTTACAAGAATAGGGGGTGGAGGGAGGAGCTGTGTGGTGTGCTGTGGGGAGGGAGGGAACAGGGGTTGGGAGTGTTAGGGGGTGTGTGTGGGGGGTCACGTCTTGATGATTGTTATGCAAACGACCCGACTTGAGAACGTGGGAGCTTTCTGTGGTGTCTGCAGTGGGCTAGCGAGGGTGGCTGTTTATTTATATTTAATTTTTCTCCTCGTGCAGCTCGTTGGAATGACTTTCTTTATTTTAGTTGTAACAGTTGGAGGATAATGCAAAGGAAGACGCTGCCTGGGAATTCACCGTCTGTGGACATGCGCCCCAGAGAGGACTAAAGCAGCCCTCACCTTGCTCTCCCCACCCGGATCCCCCTTTCCTGCCCGGCCCGGCCGGTACCCCGACCTCACCATCACCCGCTTCCCTCCCCCCCTCCACTCCCCCTTTCCCACCCAGGTGTCGGACCAGGCGGTCCCCACTTCCACCCTGCACCCCTTCTTCCCCCCCTGCACCATGAACACCAATGTCTGCGTGGAGCCCGGGCCGAGCCCGGAGGCCCCGGGCTTGCCCAAGGAAAGCCACCTGCCCGAGGGGGCCCTGAACAGCCTTGTGGATTACAACTCGGAGATGGAGCGTTACCGCTCCTTTGCCACCTCCTTCTACAAGACCAACGGGGGCGCCTTCCCGCAGGCAGCCAAGATCGCGCGCATCACCACCCCCATCTTCCCC